TTCTTTGTTGTACAGCTCACCTATTGTTCTAATGCATTTATGGAAACCTTACATATTTGAAACAACCAAAATAAAAAAAAGACAGATCTCTAGAGTGTGTGCTGAACTCAGAAAGGCACTCAGCGAAGATTTTCCCAAAGGTAAACATTCTGGCTGGAACAGCTTGCTCTTACCACTGGGTCTGTAGAGAACTGCAGTTTCAGCAAAGTCTCCAGTGCTGCTGGAGTTATTAAAATCGGTACCAGAGTATCACAGATTGGTACTCATCCTCCAAGCTGGTTGTAGTATGTTGCACTTCAACATTGTCTGTTACTTCTGCTCTGTTGACAGATCTGTGATAGCTCCAGGTAGCTTTCTCCTGTCTCCAAATACCCAGCAGATGTGCAGCATTTCATTTGAACTGGTTATCAATCAGGGTTCCTTTCATCTTGGCTTTCTTGGCTTCCAGCTCAGCCTGATTAAGGAAATTAAGACAGAATGAAATAATGTCTGAATACGTTTCCCTTCAGTGAGGTTTGGTCTTCTTGTTTGAACACTGTGAGCTTTTCACACGAGGAGCAAGAGTAGCTCAATTTTTTTGCTGACTCCCTCCTCCCCTGAGGTACAAAACGAGGACCACCTTTAAAATCATAAAAAGCCCAAGACTAACTGCACAGGAGACAATTTCATACTTTCTGTCTTCAGGTGGAAGCTGCACACTTCTCTCCTCCCCCCCCCCCATCTACTACTCTCCTGTCACAGCAGGTAAGATCAGCTGTGATGTTCTTGCCATTAATTCTTCAAGCAAACTTTTCTGGTAGCAGCTGAGCTGGCAGGTCCTCCACAAGGACCTCAGCTTGCCCTGATGCCTCACAGCAAAGACCTGCTCTGCCAAGCAGGCTTGAGAGCACAGCTAATGCTCTGGGGTGCTCTGGTTGGCAAAGCCATGGCCTGATTTCCCTTTCCCTTGTTCCTTGTCCAACAGGTCATGGAAAGTCTCCCTGCAAAAGGTCTGCTGGCTGTTCTTCAGTTAGCTTTACAGGTAATTGCATAAGATTTTAAGTTCAGGAGGACTACAAGAACATTACTATAAAACCTGTGAAGGAAAAATCATCCTCTCAAAGCTAAAAGTTACCTATGACTGTACCAGGACCTCTCTATACTTATACTGGTCCGATCTGCAAGATCACTTTTGTGTTCAAAGCCAACAGATGTCAGGGATTCATGTTCAACATCGACGAAAACACTCACCAACTCCTGTAGCCTTCTTTTGCTCATGCCTTTGCGTTCCAGCTGTTTCTCGATCACTTTTGCATTCTGTGCATAGGAGTCTGCAATCTCCCTCTGAAACACACACACAATGTCACTTTGCAACAGCAAACCCCAAAGTAACACCACCTCATCCAAATGGTGAGACGACCACTGGCTCTGATCAGTGCCTGAGGCAGCTGCTCAGTTTAGATGTGACTGCCACTAAGGGCAGACAAAACTCACTGCTTCAATCTCCTCCTCCTCTTCATCAATTGTGGAGACTGTGACAGAACTGAACTTGCCCATGTCTTTGGTCCGTTTGGTCATCATCACCTGGGTGAGAAGCAGGGTATTTTGTTAAACCTTGGCAGCAGTTGTACCACTAAGGATCACTTCCCCCTCCAAAGCTTTTAAGGCTTTTCATGCAAGTCATTAAGATTACCTGAACTCCGTGGGTGGCAAAGGAGAATAATCCCCAGTGATTTCTGGGCTTAGAGCTGTCATGAGCAGAAGCAAACTCACTGACATACATTAGACGAGCCAGATTTTGAGAATCACTGTGCAGACTGCCAGTCTGACCCACTTACAAATGGAAATGTTCTGGTAACTGAGCTATAACATCAGGCACAGTCTAGATTTCCAAGTTTATTTTGCTTTCTTTTAGTGCTAGGACTCTAAGCTGCAGTGACCTCTGTAAACCAATACTTAAGGCAGACAAGGAAAAGACACCAAACCGAGTTTTTGTTTAGAGGTTCCTTTCTTCCTTTTTTCTCCCCTCTACCCCCGCCATTAAGTGATTTCACTCACCACACCTTTTTGAAAGGCAGAGACAGCCTTTTTGCTTCTCTAAAGCGAATTACCTTTTTGGGAGGTTCTTGTTTCTGAGTATATATGTTTGTTTTCCCAAAACCTTGGCCAAATTTGACCACAGCACCGTCAACAATGAACGTCACAGGAGCATTTTTCTGTTGGTGTTGATAAAAGAGCAGCAGTCCGCACCTGGAAACAGAAACCTGTGAGGAAGCCCAGATTCTGGATTCCTACGGTTACCTCACAAACACATTTTGAAAGTCACTTGTTGTGGTTTAACCTGGCAGGCAGCTAAATGCCACGCAGCCGTTTGCTTATCCCCCGCTCCTTCCCCAGTGGGATGGGAGAGAGAATCAGGGAAAAAAGTAAAACCCAAGGGTTGAGATAAAGACAGTTTATAAAAAGAATAACAGTAATAATGGTAAAAAATATACAAAACAAGTGATGCACAGTGCAATTGCTCACCACCTGCTGACCAATGCCCAGCCTGTCCCCAAGCAGTAGCTGCTGCCCCCGGCCAACTCCCCCCAGTTTCTATACTGGGCACGACGCCGTATGGTCTGGAATAGCCCTGGGGCCAGTTGGGGTCAGCTCTCCCGGCTGTGCCCCCTCCCAGCTCCTTGTGCCCCTGGCAGAGCAGGGGAAGCTGAAAAAGCCCTTGTCCAGCGCAAGCCCTGCTCAGCAACACCTGAACCATCAGTGGGTTATCAGCCGCCTTCTCATCCTAAACCCAAAACGCAGCGCCATGCCCGCCGCTAGGAGGCAAAGGAACTCCAGCACGGAGCCGCCGCGGTCACGCACTTGCCACACTTCTTCCTGAACTGCCGCTCGATT